ACCGCCACACAAATGCCCAATGTCCCTTGATTTTCAAAAGGCCGCGATTTTAGCGAATTTTTCATTTTGTCCAAAGAAAACAAGTCTCTCGCATAGGGAGACATCTTAAGCCAGTGTTAAAATTCGGGCAACACTTTTTCAATTTGCTATCGGTTCGCTGTTTTTTCATACCACCGTGGCTTTGCTGCAAAAGATCGCAACAAAAACAAGCTTTCTTTCCCCGGCCTTGGTTTAACAAAGAAGAATATAGCCATTATTCGGATTTCGTTATTCGTGTTTTGTATTTCGCTGTGTTAAAACATCGCGTGAACAGCCTTGAGCTATGGTTTGTTGTCGTGTAGACCTCTTTAGCTTGGGCGTAGTTTTCAAGCGGCGACCTTCACTCGAGAAGTCCATTTATTCAACTAACCGATCAAATGTTATACACCCAAATTATGAAACTGATTAGCATTATTACACACATTCCACACGCATACATTCACACGCTCGTTCCACACCTCCCTTTGCAAGTTAAATACATGCAGTTTCAGCGAAGCGAATAACAAAGAAAGAGAAAGTGAAAAAGGGCAGTTCATAAGTTAATGCTTTATTGTCAGGCCTCAAAGTCTCGGAACTTTGGATTTGGTTTAACCGTCCTTCCATATCTCGTGACATATCCCTCTGGGCCACTGGGTCTTGTTGGAGTCTTCACGGGAGACCTCTGAGGAATCAGCTCGGGTGGACTATTTTGGATTGTATTTACAAATGTTCAACACACAAAATTATATTCTTTTCAAAATCTCATAGATCAGCTGGGGGTTTATTCTAAAAGTATTTTTAAAATTTCTTAAATTTCAGCCTCGATATTGTTATAAAATATATTCTTAAAAAAAAGAGCGTAAATCAAGTATTCTTGGAACACCCTAACGTCGCGCCACGTCATACATTAAAAGCATGCGCCACAGTTAATAGAGGGGAACGGTTATGAAACCCGACAAAATTTCTTTGTTTAGTATTTCTGTTCTCTTTTTTGGCCTTGACTGTGTACAACTGAAACACGATGGTTGTTTACTCCGTACTGGGGAACTAACCAATAGAAAAGTTTTGTTACGTAATTCATGCATAGTGTATGGACGCAAAACAAAAGACTGTGCACAGTCGTGGACCTTCCAATATAAATCTTGGCATCTTTGTTTGCCCCTTTGATGTTTGCCTGGCTTCATAACCATTTCC